GGATTAAGTTATACGATCCGGAGGATTGCCTCCCGCGGCAGCTTCCCAATCTCAATTTATCTGCGTCTCCCTTCCAGGATTACAGGGATAAAATCCACGGCCCACCTCAAAAATACACTATTTTCAATTGTTCACGCGAAGCACATCCGCGTTATGTATATGAATATATTACAATTCCTTGTTTAAGCATCCCAGAATTCCAAGTTGGAGCTCTTCCTTCCAATTTTAATTATGCTATTAGTTTGTTAAATTGCAGCAGAACGTTGATGAACATTTCGGCAATAGCAGTATCTCGAGATATGTTGTATCACCAGGAAAGGGATGTTCATTTGAGTTGGTCCAAACCAGACTGCAATAAATGTGAAGCGGTGGGCAAGAAATGCAGACTGGAGAAAAATAATAATATTACACATGATGAGACAGAGTGTTACGGTAAATCCAAAAAACATAGAGGTATGCTTTTAAGCTTTAACAATTCCAAATATTATGAATGCCATCCTTGCTGAGTTCATCTGTATTCCTTAGATTTCGCCTTGTTTTTAAATTCTCTACCCTTGCGCTGTTGCTTTCAATGCTTCTTCTTTTGATTCTGAGATGAATATCTAGTTTAAAATTTTACATCCCTGGGCAAAACTCGGATGCCTCAGTTTTGTCATATCAGATTGTAATAGATTTGAGGAACATATCAAGAAGCTAACTTTCTAATGTTTTGCAGATGTACAGAAAGTACTATTGGCTACAGGAATAGTCCTAGGTTCCTGTCTTCTTGGAATAATTCCCTTTGGACTTTACCGCGTTCACCATTCATATAAAGCAGAGAAAGAAGGCCAACTCAAGATTGAAAATTTTCTGGAGGATTACAAAGCTCTCAAGCCCTCAAGATATTCTTATGCTGACATCAAGCGAATAACAGTTCAGTTCAAGGAAAAACTTGGAGAAGGGGCCTATGGAACAGTTTTCAAAGGGAGACTTTCTAATGATGTTTTGGTTGCTGTTAAAGTCCTCAACAATTTCAGAGCGACTGGGGAAGAGTTCATTAACGAAGTGGGATCAATGTGTAGAATCCACCATGTCAATGTTACCCGCTTGATTGGGTTTTGTGCTGATGGAAATAAAAGAGCTCTTGTTTATGAGTACATGCCGAACGAGTCCTTAGAGAAGTTCATATTTGTAGCCAAAGATAAAGATCGTTTCCTCAGATGGGAGAAGCTTCAAGATATTGCTATGGGAATAGCCAAAGGAATTGAGTACTTGCACCAAGGTTGCGACCAACAAATCCTTCATTTTGACATCAAGCCTCACAATATCTTGCTAGACCATAACTTCATTCCCAAGATCTCCGATTTTGGTCTAGCAAAGTTGTGTTCCAAGGAACAAAGTGCTGTTTCTATGACTGTAGCCAGAGGAACAATGGGGTATATTGCTCCTGAGATATTGTCTCGGAACTTCGGAAAAGCATCCTATAAATCAGATGTTTATAGTTTTGGAATGCTGTTGTTGGAAATGGTAGGAGGGAGGAAGAATATTGATGTCACAGTAGAGAGTACAAGCCAAGTTTACTTCCCAGAATGGGTGTATAATTGCTTGGACAAAGGAGAAGAGTTTGGGATTAGAATAGATTCTGAGGGACATGCCAATATAGCTAGAAAACTTACAATTGTTGGACTTTGGTGCATTCAGTGGTACCCAACAGACCGTCCATCAATGAAAGCCGTGGTTCAAATGTTGGAAGCAGAAGTCAATAGTTTGACAGTGCCACCAAATCCCTTTGGCCATGGAGATGGTGTGCGGACAGCGAGTGTCAATATCCCAAGGAAATCAATTAATAGAGAACTAGAAGTTATCTTTGAATGAGAATAATTGGAATGTATTCTACCTCTAAGTAGTTCTTCAACTTTTCCTAAGGCATCTATCCATATAAAGTAAGGATTCAATATTGAGTGTTGAATGTTTTATACAATCATTAAAAGGCTTGTATATTAATTTACTATTTATCAGTGGAACATGGAATGTTTTATAAGAAGGTTTTTCCCCTTTTCTTTTTTGGTGTTTCTTTTTAATCCTTTACTACCTATTTCATGATTTTTATTTTATTAGGTTCTTATTTATTTCATTAACCAAACTCATCCAAGGGAATTCAAACTTACTTTTTCCAATGAACATGGTTGTAGGAATCCATGTTAGTATGGTCATAGTGTTCGATTTATGATTCCAGTTGCCAAGATTTAAACAATCAAAATGAATAATTTAAAATCAAAATTAATTTATAAAATTTGTACCTACCAATACCTAATACTAAAAATTTAATTAATTTATAAAACTTGTTAATTTTATTCTATGAATTTTAAATTTTAGAAAACAAAAAAAAAAAAACCAAAAAAACACATGGAGAGTTACTATTCATAATCTCATGTGAAACATGTCATTTTAATGGTCTCTTCAAAGTTAAATGAGAAAAAAAATATTAGCAACAAAAATGTTAGTGTTCGAAAAGCTTGTGAGCATAAATTAAAAACTCAAAAGGGCAATTTTTTTACACGGCATACCTCATTTAAAAGCCCTTTAACTATTTATTTTCACAATCATTAACCCCTCAACATGTACTTTGTGAGTTTCAGCCAATAAACTTCACATTATTACTATAATTAGCCTGAAATCTTATCACATGACTCATATGACCATCTATACTCCATTAATCCATTCTCATGATCAACACCATGCTAGCATACATATGGTCCACTTGGACCATAGAAGCAAGAAAAATCCCACTCAAAATGAGACCATGAGTGATTGAGATGGGATTTTTCTACTTCAAGGTCTAAATAAACTATATTTATACCAACATGGTATTGACAGGATAGGGTAATAAAATGATGGGTGAATTGAGAAAGTTCTCAAGGAGAACCCAATTTGAGTTCTCTATTTAAAAAATAAAAAATAAAAATTTGTTACACCTATGGAAATTTTGGATTCTCAAGTTGTACAATTCAAGGATCAATGTTTTCTTAATTTTTTTAGTCAAACCTCTAAATAAGATTAGTTGTAAGCTTGAAAGTGGAATCAAATTAAAATTGCAAGTACCATTTAACTCTAGATTTTAATTTCATGTATTGAGATTATCATTGAATTAGTTGAATAATCCAACTATGGATTTTTGTTAGACCGTTTGGTTTCTAGGAAATTGAAAGAAATTAGAGAGAAATCATGAGGGTAAAGAAGAAAATGAGGTTTTAGTATAAAAATAAATGTTAACGGAATAAGAAGGAATTTGAACCTTTTTTAAATGTTAAGGATTAAATCTTAATTGTGAGGGCAATGCATGTTTGAAAGGAAAACGATTAGTACATTTTTTTATTTTAACATATGTTTTGATACTTATTTAATTTAATCATTAAAATATAATATAAATACAATTAATTCAATCAATTTTACATTTTGTATACATAGCTCCATTTATAAGTTTATTTGTCCTAAATTTTAAATAAAAAATTAATGATTTTATAGTAAATATAATGTATAATGTATTGAATTACAAGATGTATTAAATTAGTGGTCATTTTGAAAACTAGGTTGGATCCATTAATGAGTATAATGTCTTTTACAATATGATGAGACATTATGCTTACTAATATATGTACCATATTGAATAAGAAGAATTAATCACAAAATATCACATTATACTATACAAAGCATTATACTTACAAATAATACATATTATATTTTTTTTTCTTTATTAAAGTTAAATACTGATGCACCTGGCTTTTGAGGCCTAATGGCATAACCACCGATGCATTTCCCCCCCTCCTCGGGCTGGGTTCGAAACCCACCCCTTGCAGAATATGTTAAAAAAAAAAAAATACTGATGAGATGGCTTTGTTAGATATCTTTTTAAGCACATTTTAAAATTTTAAAATTTTTATCTTAATTTTAAATTAAAATATTTATATTAATAAAAATTAATTTAAACAAATTCATATTATTCACTTTATTAGATAACGA